TGCAGAAATTTCAGCAGACTCATTGGTTAAGAGCTTGTGAGTTAGCCCAAACAGAGTGGAAAGTTGAAATTGAGTGTAGAGAGGTTAAGTCAGTTATGTGTTATTGAATACATATCGAATATATTTTTTTTCAAATTTGGTTTCAACAGAGAACATTTGATATGTAAGTTATGAAATATGAAAATGACTCAGTTCATTCACTAAGTGAACATGGTTACTCAACCGACCTTCACGCTTTCACTGGTTCTAAATTTTGTTTGTTTTTGTTTTGTTTTGTTTTATTTTTTCGTTTAAACAGGGAAAAGAAAAAGGAGAAAGAAAGAGAAGAGCTCTGGAAGAGACTCAATAAGTTGGAATTAGATTCCAAAAACAAGTCAACTTCCGTGGCGTCTAATCCCGCGGGTTCCAGCCCTAATCCCACGACCAGTACGGGATCCGGGTCAGCGACGAAGAGCTGAGCCAGCGGCTAGACCGTCTCCGACATTTTGATTAGTGTGACAGTGTTTCCGCAACACTCCGTTCACCGGTGACTGAAAGAAATTATTAATTTCCAATTTGAGGAAGTTGAACTTCGACTTGCCACACGTCCTTCGAGAAAGCACGAAAGAATTTATTAATTTAAGATGTCGTATATTGTTCACACTACTCGCGAGTTGTTGCGTAACCCGTCTCTTAAAACTAGTAGTTACCTCGGCGGAGATCGGTTGGTGAAATGAGCTCCGACGCGCGCCGTTTTATCCTGTAGGCTGTTGGATGTGCTTCGTCAGCCCGCCTACCCGTCGGCGCTGGGCATGCGCAGTCGACCCGTATTTATAATGTGGATGACCTGTTCTTGTCATACTTGGTAGCACAGTAACCATGGTAACCTAGGTATATGACCAGCGTGGAGTGGCGATTCTCCGTAGCTGGTTCCCCCTTTAGGCCTGTAGGAAACCAAAGCTTAGGAAGAAATAACGTGTAATCAATTTCTGTAGATAGCCCCTTTCTTGACAGGAAACCTCGGCTGTGAAACAGGTGTAATATTTTCCAAGTTTGGAAGAAGTGGTTTATTTTTTCTATTTGGAATCAATGAGTGATATAAGGGCTCTTTTAGGAAAATTGTCGCGGCTTCCCAGGGAAAGAGAGCAAAGGCAAAGTAATTTTTTTTGTTTTTATCCTGGATTTCGAGTTCGGCGAAAGGTTGTACCCCCGTTTCAAAATGATTCTCTTTAAAATCCTCGGAGTTCTTTCTTAATTTACTGAAAAATCATCGAATCAACTAATGAAACTTAAAAAAAAAAAAAAAAAAAAAAAAAAAAAAGGAAGAAAGAAACAGAACTACGACACTGCTTTCCAGCCGAGGTTTCCTTTTACATTTTGCCGTCCTGTTTCTCTAGCAGTTTTTTCCATGTAGGTAAGTTTTTACTCCGGGATCGCATTTCTTTACTGCTTTCAAACAGTTCCTGTAAGGGATACGGACTGACTGAGTTGAAGGTATTTTTCACGTGACGAGGGAACGAACAATAAACCGTATAGATATTCAGGATGTGCTGCTTTGTTCCAATGCTTTCCAAACGAGCCGACTTTTTTAGTGAGGGTGTGGACATATCGAGGACAATTTTCACCATACGCAGGAAAGTTGCTTTTTCGACTGAGTGTCGTAGAACCGAAACGAAACCGAGATACTCTGGTTTTATTTACTGAGTTGATAACATGAATTTGCCACCGTGAAGTTTCTAAAGTGGCCAATTTACGTTATCAACTCAGTTGATAAAACCGAATTATCTTGTATAACTCTCCCTTGAACACAGCACCACCCCTCTTCCTCCCGAACCCCTTTTTATTTGCTTTAGTCTAAACGAGCAGTCAGAACAATGGGAATTCTAACAGAGAGCCAGTTAGGGCAAAAAAAACAAACAAGTAACTTGTCTGAAGAGCAGGGAAACGATTTAAAGAGGCTTGCATTTTCTTGACAAATCGAAGAGCGAAGGAAAATTCCCCTCCCCGGCGTTGTAGCAAGAAATTGACTGTACCTTCTACGATGCATTGCAGAGCTACTATGTGATTGTTTTCATAGCCTGCGTTATACTGGCGCGTGAAGTCTGAGGAGGAGATTCTGGGATGGATTCCGTTTTTTCACAAAATACGGAAAGATATGAATGAAACCACCTGGGACGGAAAAAGTATAGCCAGCATGGAGGATTAATTTCTGGTTGAATCTACTCCACTGGCCCAAGCAATATGCTTTGTCATTAAATATTCAACTCTGAAAATTGCATTTCTAGTGTTCTCGTTGGTTAATTCACTCAACTCAGATATCAGCTCATATTCCGAGTCACCTTGTATGGAAATGCATTGCGTCAACTGTTGCGGAGCTGGAAAAAAGCTCCAAATATCCAAACGTTCAGGATTTAATGAAATTTAATAAGACAATTATTTTTTCGGACGGAGTGATGCGACAACCGAAAAATACGTCTCATGAAATACGTCTCGAATTCGGGATCCCCAAAGCCTAGATTTTTCAGGCTTTCCGTTATGCAACTAAAATAAGAGAGTGGTGAAGTCTGAGCTAAGAGGAAAAAGAGAGATTCTAATTCCCCTTAATTGATCGAGCCTTAGACTTTCAGATAAAAGCTAAGCTTTTGCTGAGCCTTCGATTAGTGAATTTGAGCGAAAGAGAGATCGGGTGTACTTTAAATTGCCATTTCGAGGACCATACCCCTGACAACTGTTGATCGCTTGTCCGCCTCCACTTGTCTCCATTGACTGAAAAGAAGGCACAGGCTCGCTGGATAAACTCCGACAGTGTTGCCCAGATAACCCTAATAACGACTTGGACCTTACTTTGTTTTTGTGTGTGCGTGTGTAGGGGTGTAGACCTAGGGTTTGTATAAATGAAACACCCCAACATAGCACGGCAACGCTTGAATACCGCCCGCAATACCATGAAACTTCCGTTGCGGGTTTGTTCAAAACACAATTAAGTAAACCTAGTGAGCGTTAAGCAGCCGGCATAAAGTTTTGATCTTGCTCTATAGCCTTACAGATTGCTCTACTGTTAAAATTTTACTGGTTCATTTTTTCCATCTACCGAGATTAACCCCCATTTAACGGTAGCCACGAGCATGCTTCCTTTTTTGAGTCGAAGAAATAAGAAGTCAAGTTTAGCATCTAATTTTGGTTTGGCGCTACCTGCCTGTCGAGCAACTGGACCATAAACCTCGTCGGTTCCCTTTTAACGCGGTAGTAGTTAGAACAAAACGACACTTTTCTGCATTTAAATTCAACACTTTTCGTTGCAAGTCCAAGATTCAGATCCGACTGATTCCTTTTTAAGACTGATTCTTTGAAACATATTTTCTGTTCATTTACCAGGGCACGAACAGGACGGAATGTAAAGCAGTGATGTTAAAACATTATGGAATATTTGGGTTCTGTATGTCTCATTGCAGATTCTTTCCTTATATACCCGGATTCTAACATTTTGCTTCTAGTTTTAGGTCTTCCCCTGATCCAACCTATGATGAAAGTGCAGCTCGAATTAATCTTACAAAGCCTCTCTTTGTAAGTGGATTCCCTATGGAGAGTATTTTTATTTATTGATCCCAAAAATGATTATTATATTTTCAGCGCAGGTGTGATTGTTTTGCGAGGTCAAACGACAATAACCTGACTTAATGGATACCCTGCTCAAGTCTGGAATAAATCGAATATTGCAGTTATAATAACTATATGATATAACACAAAATAGTTTTCAAAAATATATGATTTCAAAGAGAATATAACAAGGTAAATACATAATGAAGACTGGTGGCCGAGCGATCACTTCCGGCGTCCACCCGTGGAAACCTGGTTGAAGTTCATAGCACAAGTACTGTAACACCGGTTCCATTCGGAACGCTTCGATGCACTGTCTATCGTGGAATCAATGATGGAACTGTGTTAAATTTGTCGCTGTGACGCCCGCTAAACAAAGCAATTTTCGATGCTCTATGGAAACTCATGCCAGCCTGCGGGATAAGTGATGCTGAACGAAGCTCCCGTGAACTAAACAAGTATTGCTGTACGTTGGTAAAGATTTCGTTTTTTCAACTTTCCAAGGTACGTGAAAATTGTCAGGTTTTCTTGCTAGGATTTAATCCTTTTTTACCTCTAAAGACAGGGTGGTTTTGCGAGTTCTGTGCGCCGGGCACTGATATCCTTTGACTGAAGTTTCACTTACGTCAGTAGAAGGGGTTACAATATTGGCCGCAAAGCGCTCAGAGAGAGTTGCTTAAGATGGTTTTGGAAGCTACCTTGCATTGAATGATCTATGGGAAAAATTTTCTAAGATCTTTTCCTGAATACTCTTCGAGTCACTTGAGCAGCTAAACAGGTAGTAGGCTTTTGTTACACAACTGCAACTTCCTGCTACTTAACATTCCTCCGCTCGTTCCATATCAACTCAGCTTTGTAGCTGCAAACGAAGTGTTTCTGTATTTTCTAGACGGCTGTTAGGTTATCTCTCTGTATTTAGGCTGTGAAACCTTCTTATTCTCAAGCAGCTCTAACTTAAACTGGAACCTCTTTAAAGTCCTTCGCGAATTGTTAATTATTCATTGCTTCTCCATGTTAACTTTCTTAATCCTATCATGAAATAGGCCTCGGTTCTGGAAAAAATGTTGTGCATTTAGTCAATGCTGCGAAATCTTAAACGCTCTTAAAGTATTTTCGGCGGAATTTGCATAAGACAACCTATTTATTTCCGTCGATCTAGCCCATTGTATTTTGTTTAGCAATTCCTACTTGCACCAGGTCAAACCACATGAAATCGCAGCAAGAAAATACTGACCATCGCATTTCGCGAAGAAAAATTTTAAGTTTCAGACTGTCCGAAAAAGGATTTATCTCAAATAACTGGCTTCCATTATCCCTTTCACTAACGAACCAGGATTTATGGCCCTTAGGTAATATCTTCGAAACAATTTACGTCAGCATAAGATTCTCTCTCATTGCGTAATTTTCTAGGGAACAGCGGAACACAATATCTGCATATATTACACCATCAAGAGAAAGTATGTGATTTGTTGAAGGATATCTCAAGAGGAAATTTCAGAGATGTCTACTTAGCTGGTTATTTTGTAGATACCGACACCTGAAAAATGACACACCAAGTTGCAACCTGGATTTATAAACCCTAGCTAGTGACAATGCAAATATTATTCCCTTCAGTGAACTTTACTGATCGAGTCAGTCTTTACATTTCCCGGACTTTAAAACTAAATGTTATTTCAGTTTATTTTCTGGTGAGTCGCTTCAGTGGTCCATTAGGAGGAGCTGGGTGATTTTATCCACGTGTATTAGAAACACAGGTACCCTGAAACTGGATAGACTGATTAATCGGTGGGGAGAATACCTCTCCCGGCATAAATACAGTCACTTAGGACCAACCGATTGCATACATTATCCAACCAGATCTCTTTGGAATTCAGTCAGTGATTGGAGAGTAGCTTTCACTGCCTGTTTCTAGACTTATTTTTTGGCCGAAACTTGTCTTTGTAATGCTCCTCAATAATTAAAGGGAAACCGGCACTGACCGTTTATAGTTTGCGTAAGTTGCAGAGGCTGGAGTAATGTTGGGGCACAAGTTCCAAACAGTTTTGCAGGGCGAAAAATATCATTCTCTTATGAGCAAACAGCCAGCCGGGAGTTTTTTTTCAAAGGAGTATACAACTTGAGCTTTGAATGATTGATATAATCTGCACAGACCACAGTTTTTTTTTGTTTTTTTTTTGCTCGTGGCCTCTTTTAGTTTCGTACACAAAGGAAAGTCCGCAGTTGCTCTGAAACAGGAGCGATTTAAAGTGAGCAAAACTAAGTTATTAGCGCAGAGGTCTGGGAACCACTTGCGACTTTCATGCAAAATATGAAGGATTTTTCCTTTATTTGTCTATTAATTAATTTTGGAAATTAAAGGCTTCAGTGAAACACTCAACACACTGCAAAAGGTGTGCGCATTCGATCGTGAAAGAATTTGAAATGAGCAGCTAAAATTATTCCAAATTTTATTCTTTTTAAAAAGAGACTTTAAAAATCGGATGTTACTGCATCATTCCTATTGTCACGTGTAGTCCCAGCCCAGTTTTCAGCTTTAGTGACACAATTATTGTTGCTATTTTATTGAAAAATATACCACTTCAATTTTAAATTCACGGCACCTGGCTGGCTGCATGGTTTAAGAACTCCTGTGATATCCGGTATGTGCGGTGTAAGGTAAAGATTTCATCAGATTTTGTCAAACTGCGAGAGCGGAATTGGAGAAAGGTGGAAATTTTCCGGATGCAATTGCCCTTTGTGGACATAAATCCAAAGCGGTAGCTGATCGCCTCTTTTACAAGACCATGCAAAACCTGCTTTCCGACCGGTGTTCGTTTACAAAACGTTTATGGGACGAAAAATAAGAGATCCTGGTCGCATGTAAAATTCATGACCATTTTCTTCAGAGCACTGAACCTGAGAGATGGTTTCTGACGGGAGTTAGTATAAGTTTAAGGAAATTTGAGGCAAAGTCAAATTCAAAGAGAGGCATCTCGATGGCTATGCAAGCAAACATGATGCGTCACAACTGAAAAAAGTGGCCAGGTGAGTGCCTTTGTTCCCCGCGCGAGCCCTATGGATTGCCTTACAAAACATTTTGCAAATAATTTCGTTCAAGCGATTGTTACGCTCTACTTTTCAGCAGCTTGCATCATTTCAATTCAAGCTGGGCTCTTGGGCAACACAAATTTACTTCTCTAGGGGCGAGAATCAATTTTGAGAAATATTAGTGATGTCCGATACGAATTTCTTGTGCGGAAATTCAACGGCTTTTAGTAGAGGTTGCATTTGCATTCAAAACGCCTTTTGGATCAAAAGCTATCGAAGGTTTTTAAATTGAATATATCTGTTTGCTTGCAGCCAGTATTTTCAAAGAATTACTAAAAATATATTGCGTCAGTCTCAACCCTCCAGTTTCGGAGTGCACATGATCGTTTAAATTTCCTTGAACGAGGCTCTTCAGGTTGAAAATATTTTTAATCTTATGCCTGCTGTCATTTTAGCAATACGTGCCTTAAATTCACGCATTTCCTGAGAAATCAACGATAAACAATGGATTTGTAAAGGGCAAATCTGCTCGAGGATAAGCAATTGTTCTGTGTAGCGGAGACTGATTTGAAATCTCCTGAGACTACAAATTTCTGACCTTTTGTCCCGTTCACAGCAGTGAAACACACCAACAGGTGTCCAGAATGAGCTTTCCGAAAACATGCCTGAAAAAAACATGCGAAATAGCAGCGCTATAGATCCCAAATGATGAGGTTGCGACTTTAGAAAATTTCTCGTAAAAGAATTTTACGAGCGTCACTCGTCGTCAAAGTAACACGATTTCAAATTCATGCTTTGTTTGCGGATCGCGGAAAATAAAAAAAGAAAATCTCTGCGCGAAAAATTCCCTAATTTTCCCCTAGCAAACTGGTTTCAATTTCCGCTTTCGGTCAATGTCCACATTCAGCACTTTTGGTAATAATGGTCAATAATCACATGAGATGGCAAGCTCTGTGATCACGGGTCCATGTTTATTTGTCCCTATCAATAACACTGCTGGCTACAGTTCAGCATTCATGTTTGTTCTCTTCTACGTGAGACTGTGCAAAGTTCGGGTAAGCTAGGAGTATTGTTATTGTTTTTTTATATTTTTCAGTAAAATCTTTTCGCGCAGGTACGGGGTGGGGGGGGGGAGTTACAAGTACTAGAGCTGGTCGACATGGTCTAGGACGCCAGTGTTGTAATTAGGGGCGTTAATTGGATGTTTTGAAACTCGTTTAAAATTTGTTCGAAGAGTTGACCGTGACCTGTAAGGACGTTCTAGAACTCGTGATTAAAAATAAACGGTGAGGTAATTGCATCGCAAAGCGGAACATTTATTGAAGGGTCGATCCTTATTAGGGGACAAATATTTGACACTATTATTGTTGCTACGCAGCTTGCAATCCAGGCTGTCAATACACGCAGCTGAGGCGAGAACAATCTTGCGTTGGAGAGCTCAATAGAGAATCTTTAGGATGACATCAACATGTAAAATTTGTCGCTTGTCATGCTTGTAGTTTAAACTTCTGCAGAAAGCGCAAAGACAAAGCGCTTGGGTTGCATGTCAGCACTCTTTGATGTCGCAGAGGTCAAATTGCTCAGCGTGTGTCATGTTACGTATTGGCTTTCGAATGTACTGGGATAAATCGATGACGTCTCAAAGACTTCCGTTTAATTCTATCAAGAGATAACACATGCAGAAAGCGAAAACAAAACGCTTCAGACTGCAGACAAAATTCAGTTTTGGAAAGCATCATTTGACCCGTTGCTTTTTGAGCTAATTTCTATCTGCATTTCTAGGGATTTTCGTTTGCAACGTGCGAAGTCCATGCAATGTTTACCTCGGTTAGTTGAGTGACGGTATTGAGGGCCGAGGTCAATGGACATTCGCTTTTGGCGCGGAACCGTATTGTTTATATTTATAGTGAAATCTGACTCATGGGTTGTTGCCCACCCATTCCCAAGGGATCTCTATGGTTATACTGATTGGCCCGTGGGCGGGAAGTGATTGTATGGTGATGTGTGACGTAGTCAATAGCCAGTTGTGAAAGGTCCCTGGTTGACGAACGTAGCACTAAACTGGAAACTCCAATACTTAGAAGTTGGGAGCCAAAATATTTACGAGTTCATAACTTCAATTTGTTGCTTAGACTGTGATCGACCACCCAAGAGTTGATCTGAGGTGTTTTCTGGGCGATCGAATGTAGAGTTCTGCGGAGAACCTAAGTTTCCGGTAAGCAAATGTGGTTTTCACTTCGAACGCGTGGAGACGTTGGTTTTCAGTTGTGTCGTCATTTCGTCTCGCTACGTGGAAGCTTTGCGCTTGTTTATTCTACTACCAGCGCTGTCGATTCCCAGGGATTTTGTGTTCATTGAAGACTTTTCAGTCATGGTGGGAGTGAAAGTTCGTGTTCTCTTGAATTACACGCTTTTCTTTGTTAAAAGCAAAGTGCAAGCTTTATAGACGGCCAGTTTTAGCTACATTTGCATGAATTTCGCACGCCGCTTCCAACTCGAGGAGTAGGGTAACTGTAATCTTGGCAAGAATTGTCGTTACTCGTTGCGTAGATCTTGAGGTGAAGGTCGCATGATTGCCATTCTTACCCAAAAATACGATGCACTAAAGGCAAGAGCTATTTCCTTGTTTCATTTTCCATTTTCTGCATCGCATTTTTATTTTATAAATAACTCGATATCGTTCCAGTGGAGAATGCGTAGGTACGGACAGACTCATGCTCTGTGGTGTTGAATCAGCATTCTCTTTGATGTTCCCCATAGATCGTATTTGTTTTTCACGGTCTTATTTCGCTGTGGAAAGGTGTTCAGGCATGAAAGTAAAATAATTTACCGTTCATTGCAGCTTTCACCTTTCATTGTCTCGTGATCCCCGTACGGTTTGAAGCTTCGTTCGTCTTCGACGCTTCTTTCCTCGTGTTGTTTTTGTTTTTTGGCGATAATCACATCAGTGCCATGAAAGGACAGTTTTTGAGTAGCCGTAGTTCGTCACGAGTGTTACCTGGAAATCGTGCTTAAAACATGTTGAATCGTGCCGGGTCAGTCAAAGCGAACTTTGAATACAATGAGTTACTCTGAACACTTTTACATGAAATACCGGGTTACCAGTAAGTATTTTTCCGTGCCAAGAAAATACTTGAGTAAAGAGTGCTTTTTTTTTTAGAAGGGGTTTGAGGAACAAATTTCAAAGAGATGTGAAGAAATTCAGCTAACAGGTCTCGCCAAGGTTTCAGTTTTCGTTTCCCTGAAATCCTTATGGTTCGTGTTTTATTGATAACCTTTCTATTTGCTTTGTTACAGCTTCTTGCGAAAGTGAATTACGCCGGTCGATTTTGTTCTGAGCGCCCTGCCTTGGCGCTTGTGAAAACTACCAGCAACCGCGCGGGACAGTATTTTATCGGAACAGACTTTCCTCGTTATGTCTTTTGAGACTTTTCCGTGTGGTAGCCCCGAAGCTGAAAGCACAGAAGAACCAGCTCCGTCATTATACGTTGAAACTCCGGAGGACGATTCCTCTCGGCTGCTAATCAAAAAGCCAGTCATGAACGCAGAACCCTCAAGACTCGCCGAAACGGCGAATATCGAAGATCAGATGATGAGCGAAGATGAAATTGCTCAGGTAAATGCTAAAAGTGGCGATGCGTTGAAGCTTAACACGCAAAAGGAATACCAGGAAACAGAAGCGAGCCATCTTGCTAAAAAGAACGTCGATGATGCAGGGAGGCGTGCTATGGAAGGGAATAATATTTATGAAGTCCCTCGAACTCACTGGATTCAGTTAAATCACGGAAATTCGTCATCTATTCCAGCGCATGCCACAACTCCGAACGATCGTCAACAACAAGAAAGCGATCGCGCTAGCGTTATAATAAAAAGAATGAACAATAAAGAACAACAGGAAGTCGATTCGGACTCTGACAACGATTCACAAGATTCGGGCAAGATAAGAAGCAGCGAGCTTCGATGCAACGAGAAAATTTCTGATGGAAATGATGAGAACGTGAATGCGGTTCAATCTCACTCCTCGCGTGCGCTGTATTATAATTATAATGCACACCACGAGGATGTCAACAAACTGGAAGACAAAGGAAATGCCAAATCACAGAACGCTGGCGGGGAGATTTTGAGGAACGTGCACGGAGATACGAAAGCGCTTCCTGTTTATTACATGCCGGCTGGAGCATATCCACATATGGTAGCAATGGCCGGTGGAAATGCTGGAAACAGTGCTAATGTGCTAAAGAGGGAGCATTTTGTGCACACTAGCATGAATGAGCTCAAGGGATTTCCTGTTCAGCACATGGATTATGTTTCGGGAAGGCCGGAGCAACAAGTACCTGTGGCAACAAGTACAGTGAACCCTGGAGAAGGAAACGTTTATGGAAATTTGCAGCATGGAGCTCCAGGCTTGCAGTTTATGGACAGACGACTTGTCCATGCAGGAGGCTATGCTATGGTACCTGGACTTGGACCTGTTCGAGTGATCGATGGAATGTACTATCAGGGGCTCTCTGTAGGGGGTGATCAGGGTCGTTATGAAAACTTTGCTGCCGTGCCTTCATTTGTGCCATTGAATAACATCCCTTCTGATGCATCAGCATCTCAGACACAGTCACAACTTCCCAGTTCAGCTGCTTCAAACACTGATGTGGTAAACCAGCGAGGTCAAGACAAGCTGCTAAGTAGGTGTCAAAAATGCTTTTAGCCATTGTGTCTGCAGATCAAATTGAATCTTCTCTAATATAGGCTAAAGGTATTGTTTTAACCCAATATTGAACTTGGCTTTTTGCAATGCCAATACAGCTCCTTTTCCTGATGACGTAAGCTGTTTCACTTGTTCTCAGAGCAGACTAATTAGGACTGTGTCTTTTTTTTTAACACCTCTTCAACTAACATTGTTGCATTGTTTTCTGAAGAGTCTTTGCATGGTTCATTTAGCACTTAGATCCCTGCCTCCCTTGTATTGTCAGGCGATTTGACAGCTCTAAGCCCAGTAGTAATATTACGGGTCTAATTTGGAAGCCTCTGTGCATGCAATAATTTGAGTCAGTTCTAAGTAGTTTTATGTACCTATATGCAAACCACAAAGTACCCCTGTCTGTATTCTGACAGATTTTGACTGAAAGTATTTTTTTGAATAATCTTTTTTGCAAAATGCTTTGGGAAGGTTTAAATCAACATTTCTGTAAGTATCTGACATAGAATACATTCTTGTGCCGGGAAAAAAATCTCCCTTTCAAAAGTACATTTATTTTTAGATGCAGGAATTCTAGACATGTTGAAAACCTGATTGTCACAAAAGGTTATTCATCACAAATTGTGATACATAATGAAATGTATGTTCATTATTGGGTCTGAGAATCTGCATATTTACCCTTCATTGTCAAGTTATATATTGTTTCCAGGATAAGTCCATGATTTATTGTAGTTATTGCATGATGTGAAATATGACTAGTGGAAGTTTGCTTGAGAGCAGATGCTTGCGTTAAGAACTCTTTGTGGAGTCATGCATTGATCTGGAAATTTTTGAAAGCATTCTCTTCTTGATAAGCTTTCTCAAGAAATGCAAACATTTGGGGGTGAATTTTGTAATTAAAGGCAGTGAAAAAAAAACAGATTGGTTCAAAAAAAGAAGCATAATTTTATTCTGATTGAATCAAATGTTGATAATTTGTGTGTCATGGTTGTCCTTAAAGCGAAAAAAATTATTTGGGAGTTTCTATGGTTCCAGTTAATAAGCTATTGAGAGGTAGTGCTGAATGAAGGAAATTGTATTCATGTGCAGTAATGGAATTGTGGGGTTGCTTTTAAGCTTAGCTTTTATAAAGCGAAACCACAACTGAGGGAGCTTCTCACTTAAAAAATGGCTATTTGATACACTTTATTTTTTCCAATGAAAGATCTGTGATTTAAGTGTTTGTTAGTGAGATCTTATTTACAGGGCTTGAATCATTAAAAATGCATGATAACATTCTGTAAATATTTTAGCTACTCCGTGCCGTGCCTAGAAACTAATCTTGTCCCCCAGTGGACTGACAATGTATTACTTGAGGAAGCAATGGATCTTAATTGATGCATGTTTTGATGTGAAACCCAGCCTGTGAATTGTAAATTCATTTTTGACATTCCACAGATACCGCCAAGCCTTATGTAAGCCCTGTTCATTCTGCTGTGTCTCCAGCATCGAGTTTGGAAGAACGGAGATCAGCAAATTCTCCAGCCATTAAGAGTGACAGTAGTAGTCCTACTCCCGGTGAAGATCCCGACAGCAAGAAACTTGCTCAAAGTAAATTAAAAGGCAAACCAAAGCCCACTACAGGGGCTTCAAAGCCAGAGATCAAGTGTGAGCAATGTGGAAAAACATTTGGATCATCTAGTGCCCTTGCAAAGCACAAACTTACTCACAGCGATGAGAGAAGATACGTGTGCTCAACCTGTGGAAAAGGATTCAAAAGACAGGATCATTTGTGAGTGAATTTGGCAATTTCCTGTTTGGGTAGATTGGCTTAATTTGATGTTGGCGTTCAACATGGTACCAGATCTCGGTGAAACACACACTTTTGTGCTCATCGGATTTGTGGCCTGATTTGAATATCTGCCATAAAATATTGTCTTGTGAGCAGAATTTGCACAGATGTTTAAAGGACATTCAAGTAAACAAATAACTGAAATTGGATCTTCAGGGTCAAATCCGGTGTGAACTTAGAGATCAAAGTCAAATGTTGCTTACTTTGAGCACTTTCTTCTTTTGATAACAGAGAATGGCCTGATATATATCTAAGAAACTCTTAATGTAATGGTTTACTGAAGGAGAAAACTACTTGTGAAATTTACCCAAACCACAATGATTATTGATTATTCTGACTGCAGAAGATCAATTAAAAATAGATTACAAACAAGGTTTGGGTTTTGCAGCTCTGCATTTTATTATTCACAACAAAAAATTGTTCATAAAATATGAACCAGAAATCAAAATTAACTTTGATTTTTTGCAATTTCAGAAATGGTCACATGGTAACTCATCGGGACAAAAAACCATATGAATGTAGGTTCACAGATTGTGATAAGAGCTATTGTGACATGCGGTCTCTACGCCGACACTTGGAGAATCATCACTCAGCCAATGGGAACAACGTCAATGATTCTAGACCACCTGGTTCTGGAAGTCCAAGCTTAAACTGCAATGATAAACTATCACCAGCTGGAAGTAATGAGCACGTGGGGTCACCAAGAAATTTACCAAAGTTGACAAAGGTTCGCAATGAGCACCTTCAAGTTAGTGGGTATGATAGTGGTAGGAGCTCAGGTAGATCAACACCTGGAAGCACCCATGAACCTAGTGCCCCTCGTGAAAGACCTATTGATTTACCTCTGGAGGGAGCAGCATTGAATGGCTTGAGAGAAAGGGAAAGGAATAGTGACAGCTTCAGCTCAACGACATCTGAGGATGGGCTTGGCAACTCTGCAGAGCAAAGTGTACCCGAGAAAGCTACTGATACTGGGTTACCTCATTCAGCAGTTGACTTGCTCAAGCAGGCAGCAGATCGTGTCAAAGGACAGCATGGTGCTCGAAATGGCAATGAATTGTGGCAAGAAAGGTTTCAACAGCAGCCCTATGTGGTGTACCACCCAGATGGAACACCTTACCCGCAGTGGTATCCGACAGCATTGTATGCTCAGGACCCACGGTTTGTGTACCAATATCACTTTCCCTCAACAGTATTCCAAGTTCCAGTTGCTTCCCAGCAAGCCAGTGGGTTGGTCAATGAATCCCGTCAAAGAATGATGAACGATGCAGACACTCCGACGGAGATGACAAAGACTGTTGGGGTGTCAACACAGGCAACCCCATCACCTTCCCAAGATTCCCGGCTAACAGATACCATGCAGGTGGCATACTACAAACAACAAAGTGGAAGACATGTCGGAACTCCTACAGATCCTACTGCTGTTGCTGTAGCCACAGCAAAAGAAATGGGACAATTTAGATACACTGGTGACAGTTTCTATGGAGTGCATCCTTCTGGAACACAGTGGCAACAGGTGAGTACTCTCTCATGTAATAAATTTCTGCGACTATATGGCCCAGTGGTGACCTAGAGGTCACTGCACTGGTCTCTGCATCAAGAGGTGTGGGTTCCTCCTCTGGCAAGGACATTGTGTTGTGTTCGTGGGTAAAATGCTTCACTTGCACTATACCTTTCTCCACGCGAGAGTAAAGGAGTAATACATGCAAATTTTGGGGGAAACTTGATGATTTTTAAGGAAGCACCTGCAGTGAAGAGACACAGTGTGCCATTGGTCAGTGCACAGGACTCTGGGTCGAGAGATCTGGGTTCAAGGCCTGGCTGGTCATTGTGTTATGTTCTCTGGCAAAACAGTTCACTCTCACAATGCCTCTCTCAACCAAAGAGTAGAAGTGAGAAATGCCAAATTGTCAGGGAACCCTGATGAAATGCTGGGGGGTAACCCTGCGATGGAGTAACATCCCATCCAGGGGAGGGAGAAGTAGTAATACTCCTAGTCACTTCAAGCTAAGCAAACCTGGGATGAGCTCCAGCTGGGTCACTCAGGTCGAGTACAGACCAGCAATTAACTAACAATAAGCACGGCTTTTAGCCCTTTCACTCCTATGGTCTAACTTATAAATCTCCCTGCTTACTCAGGGCTCGACACTAACGGTAGCCCACTAGCTACAGACTAGTAGAAATTCAGTTTTGGCTAGTGGTTTTCAATTTCCACCAGCCAGTTTGCCTAGCTAGTAAACAGGACAAAATTGTTGTAACATCTAAAGACATCTACAGTAAGATGTCACTAGCCACTTGGCTAGTAAGTTGAAAAGTTAGTGTGGAGCCCCCTGGCTACTTAGACAGGAGAATTTGGTCATAATTTCAAAAGTGACACCCTTTAGCTGATAACTGAATTGTCTGTTGTCATAATCTGTTTGCAAGATAACATATTGGAATTGTCAGGAGATCGAAGTGACATTAATTAATTATTTCTGAGAGTTAGAGGGTTTATTACTTCATTCCATGAAAATCAGCACTAGAAATGTACCAAACTTTGAGTCGTTGCTGTATTTTTTGTGATTTGGTACATGCTCCATCAGTTGTTGAGCTGGTAAAGATTTGTTACCATACCAGTGATTAGTTTCTTGGCCAGACAAATTTACTTGTGTTCTCACTAAAATGACTTTGTCTAATGATCTTCAAATGGTGACATTTTGAGATAGTCAGTGATGGGAATTGGCACACTAAAAAAAATTACAATGTATAACTTAGTTCTCTTTGGTGTACTCTACATCAGGTCTTTAATTGTTATCTGCTGTAGTGTTTTCATTATAATTTACTTCTTTCCTCAATCTTAAAAAAGGATCCATGACATATATGACCTGACTGTTTACTTTGGTGAATGATCAATGAATACATTTTCTTGTCCTTTCAATACTATTGTCTTTTTTCTTTTACAAAAGAAGATGGTTAGTAGTCATTCTTTGTATAAATGTTCTTTTTTTTTTTTTTTCTTTAAGACAAATATTTTTTATAAATATTATGGGAAGAAAAGTGTGCATAGTTCATAATATTGTCAGATTAAAGACCTAATGTGATTCCAGGCAGGCTTGTTTACTATATAGAGGGAGCACAATTTGTGCAGACCTATATTGTTTCACGCCTGGTTGCTTTTCAATGAAGATTGAAATGAATATTTAATTATAAGTATTTGAAGTCCATTTGTGTAAAGATGACACCTTTTGGCTCAATTTCAGGCATGTTCTATTCTGCTTGGTATTCTCTTCCAGCACCCAATTTATCTCTTGGCAGTTACTTCTTTGATTCCATTTTTGTCACTGTTTTGGCTTCCACCTTACATTATTTAGATAGGAGGGTTTAAATTTGAAAACCAAATAGATTTAAGCTTAATGCCATCAATATTCATTTTGAGCTCAATTGTTTTGAGATGCAGGCAGCTGTTTCTTAGGTTATCGCTTTCCTGACAAGTCACCTGTACACTAGAGTGGCTTCCCACTTGTGATTGGCTGGTTGGCTGCTTGTCTGACACTTGATTGACTTGTGTTTGTCTTCTGTGGCCTATTCAAACCACGCAAATTTGCATTTTAGCCAGAACTTGAATGAAATATTCTTCAAGGCTGATTGATCATGTGACCAAGTGTTTTCTAGAGTCTCTTGCTTTCGTGGAAGAGAGCTTTCTTATCCATGTCCACTGTTTGTAAATCAGTTGCAACATCACCAGCAGTTTGTAGCAGTTCATTTTTGCTCCATAACCTAATGGAAATCAACCCACACTCCCTTTTCTACAGATTCCAAAGTGCAAACTCTCTGCATAGCTTTCTGTTTTCAGAGAAACAGAATGGTTAAGGCATGTATCTGAGGCTCTGAATTTCTCTTGATTTGCTGCTTATTCTCAACTTATTGCTAAAAGCATTATGATCAGTCACTTTACCAAACATTCACCAGTTTTTAGGTTCAGTAATTAGTAGTTCCTGAGTCAATATCTTAGGTTAGCAAAGATTACAACTGTTGATGATAACATGGGTTCTATCTGTGTTCCATTTTACCATTTTCACTTCACCACAGTATTTATCTTTGATCTTTGATCTTTAGTTTTTATTCTACAGCATAACACAATTTATTTCTGTTTTCTATTTTTATATCTTTGTGAGGAAGCTGTCTCCAAATATATTTATTTTCATTTTGCCCTTCTGTGCCTACCTCGGAGTCTGAATTTTTATGGTGATGTATTATCTCCAAGAAAAACCTTTAAAGGAAACAAGTTAACAGTTTTGAAGACAAAACAAAACAAAACAAAACAAAAACCTGTAGGGGCAAAAACTACTCTTTCTTTTATTTTGAATATTGACAGATCTAAAGGTGAACTCAGACATATTGTAAGTAAGGCAATTTATTATTGTGTGACTGAAATCGTAGATATTGAGCCAAACAGTTTGTTCTTATCCTTTAATTTCATCATCATCAATTGTAATTAAAACCAAATTGCGCTGTGCATGGATGGAACTTATTTTTTTACCTAAACTGAGAATGGAGCTTTTGATTAATGTTTATGATCATGTGGTAAAACTTAAAAAGTAGGCGTTGAAAATAATTGGTTTGATTTTATTATTGCAAGGTTTCCCATAAAAAGTCTGCTTTATCCTTCTGCATTACTGTTAGGGAAACTGGGCAAATTAGGAATGTCTCTTAAATGGGAAAATTATGCACAAAAACCATATTTATACGCTGATGTCTTTGCACAACACTGTTGTCACACAAATAATAATATTCCATTTGGATTTATGTGTCATTGCATTGTCTTCTTCTCTATGATCACCAGGCCATTTGTATCTACTTTTAAAGTCTTGAAAACATAATAGCATCTTGCACATCTCTCAGTGCAGTTGGATAAAATCGAAAACTTGAAAATTCTTGAATTTACCACTGAAGGTGCAAATATAAGTTAAAGCGCATTCTAACATCGTTCGTGTCATTTGTTAGGTGCGCTACGATGAAACAGCTAATGCATATAACTCAACTTCATCCATGGGTAACAACAAATCACTTTATGGACATACAATGACACCAGAGAGTAATGGCTCTGTTACCAGCGACAATGATTTAAACCATGTGGAGACACTCTCGAGAGGAACCGAGTTCAGAAACAGTAAAAACAATGATGGCCAACCAGCGGAGAAGAGGCAACGATTATCAGAAGTGGGTATCGCAGAGAGGAGAGATGTCAGTGGTCCACCCCTTGCTCACATCAAGCTTGAAGACAATAACAATGCACAAGACAAAGGGAACCAGGCCGTGTTTAGAAATCCTGCCGAGATAGTCACCCCAAGGCGGAAACAAAGGCCACGTCCAGAGCCTTTGACTATCCCACCATCGGCAAGCACGACCTACTTTCCTAATCGTCCAGGCTCTCCAATGAATCGCAGTCAACCATGTTCACCTCCGTATACACCTCCTCCAATGCTCAGTCCTCGTAGTATATATCATGTTCCCTCCTTGGGAAATCTGACGCCACGACCGAGTGCATCCTTGCAGCTGCCTATGACACCAAGCAGGCTTCTTCTTAGTGGCCATAGAAGTAAGCCATTATGTTTTTTTGCTAAGCAGAGGTTTTCATTTATTTGATGTTTAATGCTTACAAGTCCCCCCCTCCTCCTCCCCCCTCCCCCACTCCACTGTGACAAGCTCACTGCCAAATAGATTCTTTGCCTTACCTTCAAACTGTCTTCTAACAGCTTTGTATCATGGTAGTATTACATGCTAAATTACATTTAGAGGGAGAATACAAAGCACTTTTATTCTTTGCAAGAAATGTTGCTTGAATTTGAATTTTATTGTACCATGTGCTTTTAATTGAGCAACTTTTCTTCACAATTTTAGGCAGCTTTGATGGAGAAGAAGCCAGTCAATTCCCTGAGCCGTAAGTATTTCACAGTTTTATTTTGATTTCCCCAAATTGTTTTAACTGTGATATGCCATCACCTTCAGAGAACAAACGAACCCCAAAAAATTGTTCTTGATGATTTTGTACCACTTACCTAGAAGAAAATTGTCCATCTTTGGTGGATGGTGTCAACATTGATACTGCTGAGAATAAGAGAATTACATAAAATGGAAGTGCGCAACATAGAATTAACTTACAATGTATTTCTGTCAACAGGAAAATAAATGTTGGTCCACAGTTCCAAGCTGAGGTGCCTCCTTTGGCTGGTGAGTGTATTATTCTACAGGAATAGGCTCTTGACATCTTCGTACTGTCTGAAATTAAAGTTTTAAAGCGTGCAAGTAATGAGAATTTATAACGAAATTAAAGAACTTTAAGGGAGAGAGTAATGCATGTTAGGAATAGGTAAATTTTCAACTAATTTGTCATACTAAATTACAGAATTTGCATTGGCTTTGGGATTAGTGGAATGGACTCTCGATTGGGGGGTTGATGATCAAGCCCTGATTGGGTTAAAGTGCAGTATTCCTGGGAAAGACACCCCACTCTCTCTCTCTCTCTGTCTGGGAGTATGCATGGGTATCAGCTAATTGTCAGTGAAACATAACAAAATGCTGAAGGGTAGCCAGAAAGAGTATAGCATCCCATTTAGGTGAAAAAGCAATGTTCTTGTCTTGTAGAATTACAGCATATCAACCCAAGGAAAAAGAAGGAAGATGGCTTGGTGTAACCCATGCATCTATCCTCTTTTTGCTTGGAATGTTTTGCTCAGCATCAAAAAGCTAATCCTCTCCTCCCATTTTCTTCCAAGGTGACAAAAAAGGAGCAATCCACGATGTTCACAAGGCAACACTGTGCTGGAAACCTTTTGATGAAAAGAAACGTATGAGACGGGAGGAAAGTAAGTTCTTATGTACCACTTCACACAGCTCTGCTTTTTCACTCTTCATTTTGTTGCCCAAAAACCTCAGCTATTCAGATTCAGTAATTTCTGTTGACAGAAAAAGTTTTGTTGTTCAGCGGTTTTTGTATGAAAAAGGAAGTGCTTGTGTTCAGAGCAGAATGAACCAAATCTCTCCCATATTTTGTGGCATTAACCTCTCAGCTCCCATGAGTGATGATCATGTTATTTTTCACAACAAATTTCTTACATTGATAAGCAAACAAGTGATTAGAGTAAACAAACTTAACAGTCAGGAGTGGTTCTCTAAATAAAATAACATTCTCATAAATTTTTGAAATCATTTTTGAAAGCAAGAAGGGAGAACTACAAATCAAATCTCATCATTTTTTCTTGTTTAAATTTCAGTTGAATCCTTTCTGGATATGGCCTGCTCTGTTGCAATAGTTGGTGGTGGATCAAACAAGGAATATGCCTTGCACATTCTTCATAAAGCAAATGGAAATGTTAAGGTATGAAGAAAACACAACTCTTTGGCTAAACGTAGGTACAGGAATAACAACACTCAGTAGACTTTTTTTAAAAAAACACTTGCGCTATCAAAGATGTGTGTACTCTAGATGCTGATGAAGAATGCCACAGGTGTTTTTTTAGATATCAGCCATTTTTGTTGACAACAATCCTTTCCAGGACCTCCCCAACTTGGATGATCTCATTTTGCAATGAGAAGGTGTTTACATGCCAAATTTGTAAGTTTATTGGTGCTATTCTTAGATCCTCTGAGAGCTTTTTTGTTATTGAGTGGGATTGTTCATAACCTTTATTGTTCCTTTGTAATTGATCTCACCAGGATGCAGTAAAATTGCTGCTATGTCAGAAATTTATCACACACAATGATGACCCAATGTATGACTATCACTATGAAGGTAAAGAAGAAAGTCAACTTTTATGACTTATTTTTTGTTTCGCTCCAATAACCACTGGTGTCTTTGTCTGGAATCCTGGCATATTAACTCTGCCCTCTCTCCTTTAAATTGTGATGATAGTGGCTTACTACTTGATGCCTATTTACACCTAGTAAGAAGAGGTAAAGTCTGTTTACAAGCCTAGTGGCCGGTTAGGCCAGTGCCTAACTCCGGTTTCTGTAGCATGAAGCGACTAGGAGTATTTCTACCCCCCCTGGATGTGGGATGCCAGTCCATCACAGGGTTACCCCCAGCATTAAATTGCTGGTACCCATTTATACACCTGGGTGAAGAGAGGCACTGTGAGAGTAAAGTGTCTTGCCTAAGAACACAACACAATGTCCTGGCCGGGGCTCGAACCTGGACCACTCGATCCGGAGTCGAGTGCACCAACCATGAGGCCACCATGCCTCCACCCTAGTCAGAAGAAAGGGCTGCTAATTAATGAGCATATAAAAGGACCTCTTGTTGCAACAAATAGATCACCCCTGATGAAGCCACTAGACAGGAGTGTTGAAAATGTTGGGTCTGTGGATTTTAATTTCTGGTTACATTCATTAAATCCTTAAACCAGGGTAGCATCAAATCATGTCCAATGACATGTTCATGGTGTATTGTAATTTATTACAGGCTCTGTGAGATGGGCTTCAAAGGAGAGGCAGATTTTCAGACAAAATTTCAGAACAAAAGGAAAAGACTTTGCTGAACTTCAGAAAGATGTAAGTTTTATTCCTTGTTAATAACATTGTCACATCATGGAGTTGTTTGGATCATTGTTCTTGGGCAATAAAACATCATAACTCTTACAGAGGATCCCTCTAAATTAGTAAACATGGGAATTAGGAAGCTGTATTGGTAACCTGGCCTAAATTGTGAGGAAGTAACACATGATGGACTAACATTCCATCCAGGGAGGGTTTAAATACTTTTTGTCACTTCGTAATTTAGTTATCCTTTATTAACTTGTAATGCACTTAGATTCATTGGTAAACACATTTTTTGTACTGTAATGATTATAGATTGGAGGCAAGAAAACAATTTTTGACTGTATAGAGTTCTATTACCATTGGAAAGCAGCTCACCCTGAGGCTGTAAGAGGAAGAACACGTTACATTGACTCAGACTCTGAGGTATGTCATTGATTATCAGGATCACGAATCAAGTCTTAGAAATTAATAAAAAAATATGGGGCCTGGACTGTGCCTCTTACATATTGGGGGCACCCCACTAGACTGAGCAAGAAAGTCCTATTTGGGAGAGAAAAGTCTCAGATATTTTAAGGACTTTCCTCAATTGCCTGCCAGTTCACATTTTTAAATGACTAGTTTGGATCATTATTTTAGCGGGGGTACAATCCATCATATGAATCATTGCTTATAAGAACTATATATGGATAGCATCCATATCTGAATTAAAAGTTGCTTTCTTTTTTGCTGCTTTGTGGTAAAAGTGTTTGGTTGTCTTCTTTTTATCAGGATTATGAGGACACAGGAAGTGAAACTAACAGCAATCCATCATATTTTGAGTGTGATTTCCCTCAGTGTAATGCTGTAAGTCCTCACTTGGTGACTTCTGTTTTGAAATATTTCTTCTGTACAGAGAGAGTTGCTGCCAAGATCTGTTTCTTTACAGAAGCCTTATAATATAATTTAGGTTCACTTTAGTATCCATTTTTTTTTTATTTGCATGTTTATTCATCATCAATCACCGTTTATTGTTTTACATCAGTAATTAGGCAAGAATAGTTCTTAATTAAGCACACATAATTTTGTTTTAAGTGAAAGACCTCACACTGCACTTAACTCAACCATGGAAGCTGATTGTATGAGCTCTATTAATTTTATTTGTTTATTTATTTTAGAAATTTGTGTCAAGGCAAGCACTGAACGGTCATATTCGTGTCCATGGAGGAAGGTAAATACATTTCTTCATCGATTTTCATTATGTAATTTCCAGTGGGGAGCAGGTATTGCGCAGTGGTGAGAGTGCTCACCTCCCACCACTGTGGCCTGGGTTTGATTCACGGACGTGGTGTCACATGTGAGTTAAGTTTGTTGTTGGTTCTCATCCTTGCTCTGAAGGTTTTCTCCAGGTCCTCTGGTTTTCCTCCCTCTGCAAAAACCAACATTCCAAATTCCAATTCAATGTGGAGTGGAGTGTTTTAAGTCACTGGCTTGGAAGATTGGGCAACCACTTCCTACATTATCGACTTTAAATAAATTATTATATTTCTCATTAATGGCTAGTTCCAAAAACATAGTTGAGAAACAGTAGTAAACCAATGTGATGTTATGACTCAAAATTTACTTTAAATGGATTAAACATTTACTAATTGAATTGTATTATGCTGCTTATTTTTGTTGTGGCTTTGATAATGGCCACTCAATTATTAAGGTAAAAAACACTGACAATTTCTGTCTTTTCTATGGGTGCATTTTAACTGAGTAATGTAAAGCCAAAACCAAAGCTATTACAAAGTGAGAAAGTGGCAATAGTTTTCTGGAGCAATCCTGGATTAAATTTAATGCCCAACTGAAAATATATCTTTGAAAAGAATGCTCGATGATACAACCCCTGTATCTCTTTGTTCAATTTTCATAAGCAAGCTAATGGGTTTCTTAATAGCTATGCTTGTATTCTTTTTGTATTATGTGTTTTTTTGCTCCTGAATTCAATCAGTAAATGTTTGCTCCTAACTCACATGGTAACCACAATATTATTGACAGCTTTATGAAGCCTTCAGAGCCAAACAGACGTAAGAATCGTAACACTGCAGGTTCATCTGCCACTAATGGAACCAATTCGGCACCTGTAGTCAGAAAGAGAAAGTCTCCCTCGCCAGCACCTGCTTCAGCCCTCCCTGATTTAAATAATCCAGATGGGCAATTACCTGAGTTTGCCTGTAAAGTCTGTGGAAGGTTAGTGGCTCTCTTTCCTAGGTCTGGTCTGAAGTATAATCAGCATAACCTTGTATTTGAACTGATTTTCCTTTGAGATATTTGAAGTTTAGCTGGGCTTAAAGCTAGGGCCTGCATTTAGAAGGGCCTGTGCTTAGCTAGGGCCTTAGCTCTAAGGTGTTATCCTCTTTTCTCACTTCTTTTTTCCAATGCTAACCTGTCTTTCAAGTGATTGTTTTAGTGCAGAGGGCACCGAAGAAGCTTACTTGCTTCTACTAGTTATCCCCCTTGCTGCAAAAAGTTATCAAAAATAAAATATCGAACTAAATGGAATTCAATTCATTGTGTCTGTTGTGGTGCTAATACTTTTCTTAATCCACTTGTAGAATATTCCACAAGATAAAGAGCCGGTCAGCCCACATGAAGACTCATGTTAAAAGACCAGATGATGATGAAAAACTTTCCTCAAAGTTACCCTCCAAGAATCACTGATGCTAATAACTTGAATTTAAAAGAAAATTGAAGCAGTTCATATAAAGTATCCCTTTCACAGTTTGACTGTTAATGACTATTTATGTATATGATATAGCTAAGTTATTCTTAATTTATATATTTTTTGACTTCAAAGTCATGTGGCGAAAATAATGAATTGTTCACCACATGGTTCTTTATTTAGACTTTGAACAAGAAGAAGAATTCTTGTAAATGAAGTTTCGAAATTTGTGCTCAAGCAGTATAGCCGTAGACATTTATGGCTGCATTTAAGCTTCTCGTATCTCAAGTTGTATATATAATTAGTCTAATTTCAGAGCTGAACAAAGAGGTTCCAGCAATGTGATTGGTCGAGCGGTTCCTTATATGACGCTATATAAACCACTCCACGCGGTTTATATAAAATGTTAAACTAAAATGTTAATAAATGTTACTAAAATGTGATGATTTTAGACATTTCTCTGTTGTTCAGCTCTGAAATTTATACTAAAACAATTATTTGCATCAGATTCGGTGAATATTGTCAAATAATCCCCTCGACTTTGTCTCGGGGATTATTCGAGGATATTCACCTCGCCTTCGGTGAATAATTGTTAATTATGGGTAAATATATGTGTTCTCTGGCAAACTGGGAAGAGGGTGGGTGGGGCAACATTAATTATGCCAGACAGAAATAATATTTTTTGTTATGGAAATTTATATGGATTAAGTGCTATTTTGTCATGAAATCATTCCCAGATCACCCAGATCAAGATTGCCAGCCTTTGAGTGTAAAAGTCAAGTTCGCTTCCAAAATATTGAATCTATAACTTGAGTATACCAGTCCATTAACTTCTTTTGTGAATGGTAGGCCTGATTTCTTAACTTAAATATGTATGGAAATAAACCTTCCCCGGCCTTGTCAAGCAAAGAGTTTTCAACCAAGGCAAAGAAGTTCTATTTGCATGCAATAAAGGACATTAATCAGTCTAGCATTATATTATGGAAGAGGTCTATGGTGGTGCTCTTCTCACTTCCACTGCTCATTTATTTTTTCCCAAAAACCCCAAAATAGAAATAATTCAATATCTGAAAGTTTCAAATCTTTGAAGGTCTTCATTGAATCATGGGAAAGTTTGATCCTCTCCTTTTAATTGTGACCATTACTCTTCAGGCTGTAGTCTGTAGACAGGGATCTGGGAATGAGTCATTCTCATTGTGCATGGGCAGAGTTGAGCTCTGTCTTTTCAGCAAAAGTAACCTCATTTTAAAGTGATATGCTTTATTTTGTTTTAGTTAGTCTTGTAAGCAAAATACTTGTTGCAGTGCAGCAGATTGAAGGGTCTTGTAAATAGCTTGAATTGAGTAAACATACATGTGTGTTGAAAGAACCTCTCTTTCTTTGAAATCATGTCATTTTGACAGCAACATCCTCCTTTGGGGTACAGTTCCTAAAAATTGCTCATCTATTTTGTTTTACTAACTCATCTAGAAAAAAAAATAGGGTAATTATGGTAGTGCTGTCAAAGGTGGGATTTTTTTCAAGAGCAATGTTGTGCACTTAAGTTGTTGTTTGACATGGTATTTGTGTTCAGAATATTCTGGAGGCATTTGACTCTAGGACTTATGTTACTGTTAAATATAAATTTGTTGGTTATGCTTTGATTGAACACAAACTTAGTAGAGCCCTTTTTTTTAGTGAGATGAAAATTATAAGAAGTTAATATATGTTAGAAATTATTTGTTCCCTTTTTTTAGAAATAGAAAATGTTTGGGTTTACATTTTAATCAATTTACTAAAACAATTTTTTGATGCACCTTTTATGAGCTGGTAAAAGGCTCTACATACAAACCTGAAATTGGACCTGAATATATCCAATATCAGACAAATTGATAATGTTGGATGAACTAATCTGTACATAGGAAAGATGTGAATATGACTACAGACAGTAAAACAGGTCTAATAGAGCCGAACTTTAATTTATAGCACGGTGTACATTTGCAATTTCTCTCAGAAAACTAAGGAGAGGTTACTTAATGTAAAAGGAGTTGTAATGCTCTGTTTTCTGGCTGCTGTGTTGTAGTGGATACTGGAATAAAGCGTGTATTTATTGGTTCTAATATGTATGGGTTTCATTTTACTGGAAGCTCTCTAGTCAACTGAATCAATAAGAATTGTGGGAAACATCGTAAGGAACCAATGAGTTCTCAAAGTAAAGCAAATTATCCGCTGAAAGCTCGAGAAACCTGTGTAACCAAGTCGAGACTGGGTTAAGTTTTACATCTGGTAGAGAGAGCGGCACGAGCTTTGCAGTCCAATCATGGGAACGAATTAGTAGAGGTTCGCCTGGCATCACGGTAGTTTCGGGTTATTTAAGCGTTTCGCGAGAATATGCAGTCATTCTTGGTCGGTCAGTCTTACGTTTGAACACTTACTTTTTTCTTATTTAATGTAATTTTGTTCAACAACTCTCTGTAAAATATCACTGCTTTCATTGAATTTTCTGCGTGATCAGTAGTATTTTTAGTTACCCTTTCCTCGGGGTATAGTGCTGCTGCATTAGATGAGGAATACGTTTCAACATAATTTTGGCCACTTCTAAAGAGTGGTTTTTTAGTGGTTTTTCGTACTGGCGTAGCAAAGGCTATAATACAAAAATTTTTTGTATAACCCTCCAGTTTCAGTGAATACTTGCAGTACATTGCAGATTGTAGTAGGATGCGTACGCTACAAGACTGGCAGACTCATCCTAAATAAACTTTCACATTGAATATCTCGCACGAGTGTAGCCAGAATGCACTAAGTATATAGTCCCTGGAACAAATTGGTCAAGTGTAGGGTATGCCCGTGGGATTTGGGGCCCGTGCGCCGATTTCCCGGGGAAGATTTCTAAGGAAAACCTAAGAAACAACCGCTTTCTCGCAAAATAAGCGAAAGAAAATTGAATCGTCGCATAGTAAATGGTTGTAATGTTCTTCTTTTACATTTTGCGTGGGAAATTGGAACTATCGGCTGATGATCGCCTCATGCATGCCCGGCGTTGACCGCTGAGCTGTGTTATCAAAACGCACCTCTCCGCAAGACCTTTGCCATTCCGTTACAACTGTCTTTCTGAGTTTTCTTTTGAATTCCTTTTGTTGTTATTGTCGCTCATTCATCTTCAACCTTTCAAATCTCAATCAACAACGTCAAAAACGAAAAACCAATATGACTTCAAAAAATATCAATTACCCGCTCACTCGTTCACTTGATGACATAACGCATCACGCTACGCCAACCTCGTAGAACGTGACGATCGCTGATCACAAGACGGTCACGTTCGATGAAACCCCTATTGTGTATTTTCTGTGACCACCACAAAAGAGATCTTGAGGCCTCTGATATTGATCATTAAGGTTAGTTCATACCCTAGATCGCTCATTTGCGTAACTGCAGCCTCTTCAAGCTACAAACTGAACAGTGATGCTGTCTGACAGCGTTTTCTTTTCGTTGAAAAGAAAATAAAGTTGTTCTATGGGATCCGTCCGAGCGAAGTTTCGTACTATTAAAATAGATAAGTGTCTACATTGTATAAACACCTTTTCTGCTTCTCGCAGTGGATCTACAGATTGCACTTTCCATAAATCGTGATCTTCAGTGACACTAATGTCAGCTGGCTATAATTTTTCGGGGTGGTGTAAATTTACCTTCAGTGATAGCTCGAGATGATATCAAGGATAAATTATGTACGCTTCGGGCTACCTGGTTTTTAACCAGAATGCCTGCAAAGGGAAGAAATGTCGTCTATGATAAACTGTTAGCGCAAATGCTGTCTGAGAAGATGTTTTCTATATTTCCTCACACAAAGCTGTACCTGTTGCACTAGTGGGGCTTCTCAAATTGACGCAATACATACATACATACAGACAGACAGACAGACAGAGAGACAGACAGACATACAGACATACAGACAGACATACATACATACATACATACATACAGACATACAGACAGACATACGTTAGTTGACCACTCCTCATAGAGGATTTTTGGGGCCAATTCCCACCCATCCCACCCCAGGGGAGGACATCCACGACATAGTAATCTCGAACGTGGGAAGTTAACATCTCCTACCCCTACCCCTGCAGGAGACGGGGCCTACGGTTCATTTGTCCTTATCCAAGAAGACTAGAATATCTATCCATTTCTTGATTATAGAAAGGTAGCAAATTCTCCTCACTTATTTTAAGACCATGAGTATCGGTCCGGCTGGGGCCTTGACCTCCCGCTTATCACAATCTGGTGCTCTAACCAACTGAGCTAACCCCACCCCTATAACACATATCTTATTTTTGGAACCAACCTTAGAAACCTAAAGGTCTGCACATTCTCCATTCTGTTCCCCAAACATTTCCCAGGGTGCTGACAAGGAGAACTAGATCATGTTTACTGTAGGTACTCTTGACTGGTATATTAGGCAAGAGTGGGCCGATACTCAACAGATATGTTGGTTGACACTCAGTTGACACTCAATCAACACTCAATCTACACTCAGTTGATGGCTGATACTTGGTTGATACTCAGTCGATGTTTCGGTCGAGATTATAGACTATCAACTATCGACCTAGTCTCAAGCGAGTGTGGAGTGTCGGCCACCTATTGACCAACCATCGGCCGAGTGTTGCCAGGCTATCAATGGAGTGTTGACCATCTATCCTCTGAGTGTCCATGGAGTGTTGACCAGGTTTCAACCAAGTTTCCACTGACATCATGAGTGTTGATGGACTCTCAACTGATATATCGTTTGAGAGTACCTGCAGTAAAGATGATCCAGAAAACTTGTTTAAACAGCATGAGCTTCTTTAGTTGACTATATATCATTTCCTTTATTCTTGATCATCACCTTAAAATGTGTGATTTAGGGGTGATATGGGCAACTGATGCTGAAACCTGAGATTGATTTCAAGAGCAGCAAGATGAAAAGCAGCCCACCCTATAAAGGCTGATAGTTTCTAAAGAAACTGTTAGGGGCTGCGTCGGTGGGGTTAACGAAATAATTTGAATATATCAACAAAGTTGAAATGGTAAATTGGCCACTGTTATGATTATAAAAGCTGACATTTCGAGCGTTAGCCCTTCGTCGGAGCGAATAGAGGAATTGTGGGTTGTGTGTTCTTTTAAAGGCAGAAAATGGAGCTACATGATTGGTGGGAACATGGCAACGAGAAAAAAACGAATAAATTAGTGGTATGAAAAGCATCAGCTTTTATAATCGTAATGGTGGCCAGTTCACCATTTCAACTTTGTTGATATATTCAAATTATAAAGCCCACCCTCTAGTTTGCCCTGGTTCAAACTTGGAATTGAGGGAAAGAATTGGCGAACAACCTCTAACATTTTTCTCCATTTGTTTAATTTCTTTTTATAATTTACAGACCAAATACCAACCTGTCATCATTGAGATGTGGAGAGCAAGTTCTGCTGGTTTGAGATTGTCAAACCAACTTTCCAAATGTGTATGTCGCTGCTTGGGTTCGTCATCTGTCCAGCTAAGCAAGTTTGTAATAAAAAGTATAGATGAGAAATCAGCAAAGAAAATGGTGAATGTTACTTGGCAAGATGACACTTCAAATGCATACCCATACATATATCTTCGGGACAACTGCCAATGCCCAGAGTGCTTTTTCAAAGATTCTAATCAGCGTCTTGTAGATGTCGTAAGAGATGTTGACCTCAATGTCAGACCCACCAACATCAAAATGAGCGAAGATGGAAGTAAACTTTCAGTTACCTGGCCAGACCAACATGAAACCACACTTGATGCTGACTTTCTATTCAGGAAGCAGCTACCAACTGAAGCAGAGTTAAAACACAGAGTTTGTGAGGATGTAACCACCAGGAAAGTGAACCTTTGGGGGAGTGAATTTAAGGACCACTTGCCTCGCATGAAATATCATGACATTCTTGAAGATGAAACAGTGGAGTTTGAATTTTTAAACAGTCTATATCGGTATGGGTTGGCCCTGGTCACAGACATGCCAGTTGAAGATGGGTTGGTGGAAAAGCTAGGAGAGCAAATAGGTTACTTGAGAATGACAGCCTATGGGTAAGGGTCAAGTCAGTTCAGAGATTGATCAGTGAAGCAGCAAGTTAATTGTTCAGTCATTGAGATATTCAGGCGGTTGGTCAGTTGGTCTGTCAGTTACTGAGTTGCTCAGTTAGTAATTTAGTCTATCTGTCAGCCAGTCAGTCAGACAGTTAGTCCGTTAGTCAGTCAGTTACCAGTTAGTAAGTTGCTCAGCTAGTAGTTTAGTCAGTCAGTCTGTTAATCAGTAAGTCAGTCAGTCATTCACTTTTTCCATTTGCAGTATGACTGTATTTGCCTCTAAGACCATTAGTTTATCAACCACTTCTAAATTAATCTTTTGACTATTTTTCCCATAGGAAGACAATAGTGGTATCAACAAGGCTACAGGCCAACAGTGTTGCCTATACAAGTTACACATTGCCTTTACACTCTGATCTGCCATACTATGAAGCCAAACCAGGGGTATGGAAGATAACTTTAATTGTTAATGAATTTTATGCAGTATTTGGTTTAAACTCTGGATAACTTTTGATGGTGTAATCTGATGGTTGGGTTGAGAATAATACTGAGAAAGATTGTTGTTGGTGATGGTGATTGACATTTCGACAGCCTTAGCAGAAGTTGCCATCAGAGTCAATTGTCAAACAGAGTCCAGTTGGATTTATTAAATTAACTTCCACCTTTGGCTTTGGCCAGGGTCATTGAAACATCTCATACTTTTGACTTAGTTACAAGGAAATGTATTATGGTCAGAAGAGAGAATTACCAACCAGATCATATGGGGTAGAGAGAATCATTCTTTTTGCATTTTAACCTGCACTGATTTGGTGGATTTGACAATCAAACTATAGCTAGTTCTCATGTGAATAGGGTGGTATCATGGTAATAATGATAATAAATGTTATTTATCCTATCTATTAAAATTTGAATAGAAGGTTGGATGTCATATGAAGACAACCTTATCCAAGAGGTATCATTCCTTAGTAAAGAATTAACAATGAAATTCGAGTTGAAGAACATTTAAGATGAATGATTTTTATTTTTTTATAAATCTGTTTACTATAGATACAGCTACTGTTTTGCAAGGAACAGACTCCAACTGAAGGAGGAGAAAATTCCCTGGTTGATTCATTCCATGTTGCTCAACAATTGAAGAAGGAAGATCCTGATGCTTATGAGTTACTCACCACAACGCATATTCTGTTCAGAACAAGTGGAACTGACATAGTTGGTGAATATGATTTGGAAGGTGCAAGACCACTTCTTGAGTAAGTTGTCAGATGTTGTGTGAATGTGTACCAACCCTTTAAATCTGATCCCATTGACCCCCAAAAGTGACTAGCGTCTAATATCTCCTTACAATATCACCACTGAATCACATGTTAACGTTATGAGAATAAAGGAAATGATCACCAACTAAAAGGAGCTGTCGATTGGTAAACAAATTCTCTCATTAGTATGTTAGTAAATGTATAGAGAACAGTATGGAGAATATGAATATTGATGTTTGGATGTGTATATTATATTACTAGTCATTTTGGTGTGTAGTATTGCTTAGTATTTTTAGGAGTTGTGCAGTATTTTGACAAGCCCGTAGGGTAAGTCAAAATACAAACAGCAGGTAAGAATACTAGTTCTTTATACCAAAACATCTAATAAATTATCTATCATCCAACTGCTTTATAATAATTTTCAGCTCATTTTTCATAAGGCAGGTAAAGCATAGCAGACAGCGCAGCGCACGCAGCCAATCAGTTAATTTTTTTTTTACGGTACAAATTAAACAACTGTATAATATCGCAGAATAATTGAGCTCTATTCACATGTTACTTGTACTCTACTTTGTGTGGTTGGATAATAAAAAGGGTTAAGAGTGACTAGCATCTAATTTCTCCATACAATATCACCCCTGAATCAAACATTAAGGTCATGAGAATAAAGCAAATGATCACCAACTTAAGATGACTTGATTGTTTAACAAATTCTCTTTGTCAGTACCAATTGAAAGGAAGTGTACCGAAAACAGTACAGAGAATATGCATACTAATGTTAAGGTGTAACTGTTATGGAAGCAGTGTGGCTATAATTCAAAATTTAGTTTAATCAATATTTAACAATTGATATTAACTCAGTTATGGTCACTGTAGTTTTTTTTTTTTAATTTGCAAATTTCAAATAATAAGGGTTGTCAAACCCTGATCACAGTAAAATAGACCTGGTAGATTGATGCTATCTATTTCATCTCTGATGAATTGAAGAGAAATTATGCAGAGGAAAAAATACTAACCAAAAAGAATTGATCACAGTGAGATTATTTTTGTACTTGAAAACAATTGAAAAGCTTATGAACTGCATATGTCATCCAGATTTATGACAGTTGAAAAAGGTGTTTTCTTATATCTTATTAACCAAGCGCGAGGGCGGTACTGGGAGAATAT